TTCCCGCCCGTGTCCTGTGCCCGAGCCGTGCTGGTGCCGGCAGTGGGATTTACTGCTCTCGCTGTGATTGACCTTTTTGTTTTCCCTTCCAAAAAGCTAGTTAAAACCGCCCAGATTTTGTTTTATGTAAATACTGAAGCTAGTAGAAACAGATAGGCTCATGCCACTTTTTTTTCATTGCGCTAGCATCACCTTTTATTCATTTGTTAAGCTTCATTATTTTGTTATTTTCTGTACATAATGCTTTTGTTGAAATAAAAGTTCATTTGAGTTTTCTTCATTGCTTAGTTCCCTACTCCAGTGTTTTAAACTTCTCTTTCCTGGCAGCCAATTCTCATAGAACGGTGCCTTGTTGAGGCCCCACGCGTCCCCTCTTCACTTCTCGAGGAATGTGTTCATACAAGCATCTCCCATTCCATTTGTACCCGTTGCTTTTTACCACAGTATTTTCTCCCCAAGGCCTGTCACAGAAGTAGCTGCGATCGTAGCCCCAGGTCTTGGCGGAGAAGGAGCTTTGCCCAGGGCTGCCTGCGAGGCTGGTGCAAGTACGGAGAGTTTGTAGCTTGTGCTGGATGCTGTCCCACAGGGACTCGTGTTTGGTGACTTCTGCAGCCTTCCAACAGCCTGGTTCTTACCTGACTGTACCCTTCAGTGGCATGGATTTCATTTGGCCGGGGGTTTGAAGGACGTGCAAGCTGAACAATGTTAGGTTCACCCGAAATACACGACTTCTATGCTAGAGCTACCCTTCTGTTGCTGCTGTGCAGATTCTTGGTGTTTTAAGAACCTGAATATGGGTTGTAATAATAGAAGTTTGGTGAGGAGGATTGGAAACACACTCGAGTGACTCGCAGGTGAAGAAAACACATGTATTATACTAATCCTTGTTTAGTCTCGTGTGTTGACAAGTAGAACCCGTGTGTTTGGGTAACACAGGCCTGTGACAGGCTTGGAGGCACCCTGTGGAACATGCCTGGGATTCTTGCCCTGCTGTGGGAAAGATCAGAGCACGGTGGTAGCTGTGCCTGTGTGAATCCCTGGTACAGAGCACAGCCAGCAGGTTTGGTGGTGTTCTAGCACGGACCACGCTCCCAGGTGCCTGTGGTCCCACTTGTGTGCCTCTGCCCCGGCGCTGCTTCGGGGATCCCTCGGCCGGTGAGGTAATGGAAATAAATTTACTCTGCATTTCATCTGTGGTTCCTGTGTCCTGCCTGTGCTGGCTCACGCAGGTTCATTGGCACTGTATAAAGGTACAGGTTTATAGTTTCACTGCAGAATCTCTTAACACCGAAACCCTGAATGATGGCTGATTTTTTTTGGGGTAGCACATCAGGGGCAGTACTCTGAGGGCACGTTGGTGAGCCCCACAAAGGCCTGGCTGAGTGTGGAGTCACCTGCATGAGGGGTTGGAGGGTGGCACTGTGTTAACTTCTGCCCCTGCCACTCTCAGCTCTGATCCTGCAAGAGCACAGAGTGTTTTCCCACAGCAGTGCGGTTTTGGGCAGTTGTCAGTTAATGTTATGGTGCTGTTCTGGTGGATGGACTGTATCAAGTTGATCTGACAGAAAAATTTGCTTAAAAAACCCATCAAACAACAACAACAAAAAAGTTGCCCCTGGCTTTTTTTCAGTGATGTCTGGCTAATGAATGATGTTCATACCTGATCTGGCACAGCCTGCTTTAAGCAGCGCTGCCATGAGCTGACTAATCACAGCCACAGTCAGATGCTTAAAATAGGTGACATAAATACTCTTTCCATTGTCAATATGTAGTATAAATACTCTTGTCCTTATCCTGCAGATGACATTCCAGCAGGAGCTGGAGTGTGCCTGGTGCAGAGCGAGCGCTCAGCGTGTTCCTCCTGCGCCCCAGCACCTGCCTTTGGCTGAGGACGTCATACCTCACCCCAGCTGATCCGTTTCAGATGAGAATTTATAGTCCATGTTTCCAATTTGACAGCGAGAATTTCATTACTCCTGCTCTGTAGACCAAACTTCATATCACCTGAAGTAATTTTTTTATTGGAAGAGTAAATCTTGATTGCACAGTTCAATTCATATCTCTGTCATTAGTTCAGTGAACTGATAACTGCAGTTACCTGACAGAAGTTTCAGAGGCTTGAAGTAATCATGTCACTCTTGAAGTTAATAAAACGCTTATTGTAGTCTTGGGGGCAAAATGCCTCTGAATAAAACATTCTCAAAGTTTACTACTCTGTGTTAGAACTCGGTGTTAACAGAAGGCTTTAAGGAGGGAAATGGCACTTTTGCTAATAAAGCCATTTTCAAAGGCCTGAAATCTGTGCTGAGCAAATGCTGCAGTCGTGTTTCAGGATGTAAGGTGGGTAGTGGTTTATACATTAACACGCCTTTGTGTAATACTGAAAGATCAGGCTCACAGGAGAAACCCCAATACATTGTTGTTGGGCTTTTTGAGCAGAGAAACAAAAGTAAAAGCGTTTGGGTTTTCGTCCTGTTAGGGATGCTGATTCATAGGGTCTTCAGACACATATGTACGTGTTAAAATCCACGTTCTGTTAATTGCCCTGCCAGCTTTTCCTCTTCTAAAAATCAAGAGAGTAATTACACATGCCTAACTCCTAGCACTGCATATAGTAAGTAAGTGACTGAGGATTGACTTTACAGAGTTAGTATTTACAGTCCAACAAGTTACCGTATTCATCCGTGGTGATGGATTTAAAAGCAGAGAAAGTAGGTCTGCCACACCTGCTGCAGTTTTAGGCTGTTATGTAACAGGGTGAAGAGTAATAGAAGAAAAATAATAGTCGCTTTTTTTTTTACAGGGAAGCTTGGTCGCTTTCCACCGAGGATGCCTTACCAAGCTGCTCCCGACAGCCGAGCTGCCACTCATTTCCCAAGGTCTCACCTTGCTGAAGCAGTTGCCAAAGCCAAGGCAGGTGGAGGTGGTGGTGGAAGCACTGGTGGAACTGGGAGAGGCCTCGTGGGGCAGATTATCCCTATATATGGATTTGGCATCTTCTTATATATCCTGTACATTTTATTTAAGGTAAGACCAACATAAATCAAACAGTTAGGGAAATAACAACTTGAAAAAAAAAAAAACAACCTCAAAACAGAACCCATAGTCCCATTTCTTTACCTTGTTCCAGTTCAGCATTGCTCAGAAAAAAGGGCTTATGCTGGACCTTTGTCTGGTGGTTGAAAGATTGGTGTATCCTGTGGTTTTTGCTATTGCAAAGACTAAGAAGGCAGGGACGGGTTGCTGTGATGCTGTATGGCTTCTGACCTCTTACTTTTTTTCCCCCTCCCTGGAAAACGTGTATGTCTAGAACAATGTTATATTAATTTTTAATATACACATAGTCTTCTTTTCTGTTACATGTGACTAAATATTATGTGTATGGTGTATGTCACATATTGTGTTATGCATATGAAGTGGAGAGGGGGAGTACAGTTACCACATGGAACAAAAGCACCACGTTGTTTGTTGCTGGAGAACAGTTTGACCACGCTGGAACTACCCCAGCTGAGGAACTGTTTGAAAGCTAGTTTAAAAAAAAAACAGCCCAAATTCCCCTCAAGTGTGATTTGAACTTCTGATAGCTTTGTGTTACACTGACGTGACTTGCCTGTAGGTGATGACAGCTGAGGAGGAAGGAGAAGTAGACTTGTGGAAATGTTTGTTTTTTCCTTTGAGGGAAGGCTAATCCAGGCTGAGCAGTGTCCAAACAGGTGAACCTGCTCTGGATAGACAGTGGCAAGAACAAAGTGAACTGTGTGAGCTGCTCAGACAGAGCAGATGAAAGAGAGACATTGATATCCTGCGGCTTCTATACAGAGCCAGCCACTATCTTTTGCTGCAGGTGCAAAGTTGGTAGGGAATAACGGCAAAACACATTGCAAGAGGGACAAACAGGGCCACATGGAATTCCTTTATTTCACAGAAATTTAACAATGCACTTTTTTCCCCTTGTATACGCAGAAGAACAGAACAGATAAATATTCTAAAATGAGAAAGTTATTTCTGCTGAGTTATGCTTTCACTATGCTTAAAAATACCATTTGTTCCAAGTGCCTTTCAGGAGTTTTTCAGCTGGCAAGATCTCCCAGGCATCTGATAGGCTGGTTTTGCTGCTGAGCTTGCTTTTCCATGGTTACTTTCTGGTTCGTTTTAGTTTTCCACCTTTTTTTCTGTTGCCTTTGGGGCTTTATGCTACTACTGTGGTAACTCACAGAAGGGTTGTCTTTTTTCACACATCAGCTGGCTTCCAAGGGGAAAACTACCGCTGGCGAGCGGAAATGCCCTACTGCTGCACCCGGAAACACGAAGAGGAAAATCAGTGAGTATGACTTCTGAGTTACATCTGTGTAGCCGTTAACTCTGTAGAGGTACGGTCCAACGGGTTTCTTAAGTTCTGAGCACACTATAAAGCTGCTGTTCCTCCTCCCAAAGAGGAAAGCAGAGGCTTCTCTGTTGGAATGTGCAAGAGTTAAAGTGAATTACTGCACTGCCACTTTCTAATCTTACTCGGCTAATGAGACTGATTCCACGCTCCCCTGGAAGCAATGGCTTTTCATGAAGTTCATGGAATTAACTGTACGGATTTGCTGAAAAGCTGTGTAGCTAATGATTGAAAATGGATAATAGGATGTCCAGCTATAATTACGCCATAATCCATAATATTCTTATAATAGTATATAAAGATATTAAAAGCTGGCTTCATTTTTTGAATTTGTGAATTCTTAGCCATCACCAGGCACTTCCCTACTTTTTCCCTTCCCTTTTTGCAATGCTCAAAGTTTTCATGAGCTCAGTAAAGGAAGCAAATAGTGTTCCGAAATGTTATTTTGATTTTACCCAAACAGCAGTGGAATAGATTCCACTATTTGTAGACATTTATTAGATAAATTAATAAGCTTACTATTGAAGATTGGCTGAGTAGTTACCATAACAGTATTTAGATGTTTTATGTTTGGCTAGCTAAACTCTAATAGGAAAGAAAAGTACTTAAGGCTTTATAGGAAGTGCTAGCAGTGAGGTAGTTCTCTTAAAATAGCTGTAATTATCTTGACATTAATGTGTATATTAGGAATACCTAATGTACTCAGTGCTATAGATCGTATTTTCTGTGCACTTGTACTGCATTGTGCCGGCAATTTTGTGCAATTTATTAGCAATGGCAATTACCTTTTTGTTTCTCTAATGCTTGGTAAAAGAAACTGACTTTGCAGTAAGTTAAGCATTTACGCAAAGAACTAGATGAAAATTATTCTGCCTTTTTCTAGAGCTCTTCATTTGTATTCCCCAAGCATTCATGGCAGAGCAGGGACAAGTCACTGCGCTGGGAACCTGATGGCTGAGTCACCACTTAGGTAGTGACTTGGAGGGAGTAACTTCCTTTGGCTTTGCCAATTCCCCTTCTCCTATTTTTAAAGCCTCAGACATGCAAAATAATGACATGAGTGATCCATTAAGTAATGACATTCTCTGCAGACTGGAAATCTTTCCAAAAGCAGGATGTCTGTGGATAGCTTTCTCCAGTCCTGCTACGTCGAAGATCCATTGTGCCTTTGTGCTGCTTACCTGGTGTGCCTGTAGCAGCTGAATATTTATCTGACCCAGGCTGGTTTGCTTTTGTTCCGCGGTGTGGAACAGAGAAGTCTCAGCTGTAGGATTTTGAGCATGAGCTACAAAAGCCAAACAACGAGCTCAAGCATTTTTGTGGACATCCATGCTGTTGCATCTTTACTGTTAAGGCGTTTGGCTAAATTAAAGTCAGCGTGGGTGTTCCTGCATGTATGTGTGTGTGTGTCTACTCTTGTACTGTGGACATGGTTTTTTTGGAAAAAAAAAAGCGCAAGCATGGAAATGCCATGCTTTGCTCCTCAGACGGAGCCATGTGGCTAGCTGTCCTTCATCCGGGTAAGCCTGGCAGACCATTAGGACTCTTTACCTGTGCTGGCCCACCTGTGAACTTTATTTTCTTTGATAAAGGTGGTTTCTCAAACCATAGATTTATTAGAAAATGCTCAAGTGACGATTTGTCTCTGTTCCCAAGGACTCAGCAGGGAAAATCCATGAGAACAGTAAACCCCTGTGGTTTCCTTAGACAAAGAAAAAAAAAAGCTATTTTCTGTTCCCCAGCTTTAATCTCTGGGGCATCTGCAGTGCACCACTTGCTCTGCTTGTTGGGAGGTTGCTCAGGAAAGAAGGTGCTTTCTGTGTGTCCTGTTACCAGTGGCAATAGTCTTTGCTGTCTTACACCAGGAGAAGTAGGAAGAACTCTAAGCTGCATGTTCTGGTTTCCTCACAGCCAGTTTGGTTTGGTACAGCATGTGTAACCTGCCATAATGGCACAGGGATACATTCTTGAAGCTCATACTGACTGATCTTGGGATCTTTATTTTACAGCTGACTATGAGCTCACTCAACTTCAGGAAAAACTGAGAGAGACAGAAGAAGCTATGGAAAAATTAATCAACAGAGTGGGACCCAACTGTGACAGGTATGTTTCAAATTACAGCGTTTTTAGGAGAGATTCTGCTCTCACTAGAAATTAAACTTTATTACATCGGCTATATTATTTTTAGTACTACTTCAACCTGTAGAAATTTGATTTTACATACCACACTTTTTGATCTGCAATTTTTCTTTTCAGCATCTATATTTAAAATTACTGGGTTTTTTCCAACTTCATTTTCTGTAAACAGAAAAGCAACTATCCCTACCTTCCCTCTTTGTACAGTGTGTTATTTGGAAGATAATGACAGGTATATGTAAACAAAATAAAACGCCTACATTTAAAGTATATAAAACTATCTGTCTTATATGACCAGAGTAATATTCTGAACGATTGCTATGAGATCCATTTGTTTTATGTTATTTTCCAGTTCTGTGGATTATTTTTCTAAATAGAAATGCTGTTGTAATTTATGTAAATGCCCATTAGAATATCCATAGAATATTTCTTTAAGGGCAGAATTGTATGATAATTTGATTCCATAACTTAATTCCCTCCGGTAAGCAGTAAATCCATGCATGTTCTTCTAAATATAAAAAAAAGCAAGAGTAGTAAAATCAAGATTTAAAAATTTATCATGTTTATTAATGTTTGCTATAAATCTGAGATCACTTGTCTACATTATAAAGAAATACTGCAAACAAGCCTGTGTTTTTCGTAAGGAGTGTAACAACACATCAGTGGGACGACGCATAACTAGAGTGTGAAAATTGAAATACCGTGAATACTAAGGGAACACCTGCAAGCAAAGAAAGCTGGCTGTTCAGGTTGTAACGCGTGTTCACTTTGTCTGGATCAGTCAACGGCTGCTTTAACCCAGCCTGTAGGAACAATTCAGTGCCGAACTTGCAGGTTATGTGCGTTCCAACGGCAGTTTCCTTGGCCGTGTTGCGTTGCCCGCTTTGCACCATGCCCTAGATTGTGGTTGCGCTTGTCTCTGCAGGACAAGGGGCCAGACTTGCCCGTGTTAGGCCCGGCTCCAGCAGGAGAACCCCTGAGCTGCCCTGGTTTTGTTAGTGAAACACAGGGATACTGTTTGGGCTCTTACTCATCTTTGTTTTGGAGAGCTAACACCTACCTTTATGCTGCCAGAAACAGGCTTATGAGCTGCTCAGATATTGCGCTGACTCTCAGGGTAGGGTATATTTTTACTGAGAAAATGGGTTTAAGGTCTGATCCAGTACTTGTTCCACTCCGTGTTATTGGCTCAGAGCCGCTATTTAGTAGAACTTCCCTTCTTTGTTCAGCCGAACTATTTATACAGATGGATCTAAAGGCCTCGGGGGAAATCAGAACCTGAATCTAATAAAGAAGTTTGTATGTAGCTTTTTTAAAGAGAAGGGGAAAAGCACCTCTAGATGGAGCAAATAGCTGTTTTTCAAATACACCCAGGCTTTGAAAGCTTTCTTAATCTACACTGTGATACTCATTAAGTTTGAAAACACTGGATGAATGTCTTAAAATAAAATGTATGGTTAGACAGTGTAATTAGAACACTGAGTACAGTGCTAGGCTTGTTCAGTCTGTATGCTCATAGGTTTAAATAAAAAGGAAGGAGGAAGAGGGCAAAAATTACTTGACCTCCATTTATTAATCTGCAATTAATCAGAAATACAACAGAAAAGTCAGAGAAAGAAGTAACTGTTATAAAACTAGTGCTGAAAGACCACAGGTGAGACCATGGCCCATTATACTAGATATGGCCCAGCCTGCCTAGTGAAGTATTAGTAACCAAACCAAAGAATATATTTTGCATTGTCCCCAAAAGAGGTGTATCACCGTAACACACGATGTTTGTACTGGTGCTGAGGTCTGCGCTTGTGCCTGTGTCCTCTCACCACACCTCAGGAGCCTTCTCCTCCCAGCTGAACTGCTCCAGGATTCATCCTGGCTTTCTCCTCTGGGTGAAGAATCTCCATGGTCTGGTATCTCTCAGCAGAGATGAGGAACCTTGCTGGGACTGAAGACTTGGTTGATGGTTATATGGGGCTCTCTGCATTTAAGTCATGCATGTTGCTTTTTTCCAGGCTTTTAGCAGAGTGTTTCAGTGTTGGGATAGTGATGTAATGGGTACAAAAGGTTTCCCTGTCCATTCTCGTAGATGTCTGATGCGTGTTCTTATTACCAGGGCCTGTAAAATTTAGTATTGTGAAATCCCTTTAGACTGAAGCATACTTGTAAATATTTTTCTCAGTGGAGTATTGTACAATACTCTCTTGTAAAAAAAAAAATAAATCTCAATTTCTGGTAATTAGATAAGAAGTAGAATAAGGCAGCTTGATTACCTGTTTTAAAAGTCCTGTTTATAGGGCTGTCAGTTGGGAAGCTCTACCTTTTTACTGTAAACTGAGCAAATGTGATGGGGGGGAGGTGGCGGAGAGAGAGGCTGTATTCTGTGGAGTGCCATTTTTGGGCTATAGCTGCAGTTTAATAGTGATTATTTTTAAGATCATGAAGCAAAAAAAATACTGGTGGACATGTCTGAGATACCATGTTAGATTATGGCTTTTCACTGAGTCATGATAGTGCTTTAGGAAATGTTCTGCTCTCAGTGTGAGAGTAAGAAACCTTTACTTCACCTGCCAGCGAGCACTTGGGGACTCTACAAAACACTACGAAAAGTAAGAGTTGTGCTGGAGCTACAAACACAGAGAGCAAAAATAATGACCTTTTGTTACACTGTAAACCCTTTGCATCTCTTGTATATCTCTTAGTATTCATAAGTGCATTATACCCTGGTAAATCTCCTCTACGCAGGCAGCCAGATCTCTCATACTTTGCCAACCCTAGAGGCCTTAAATAAAGTAGAAATAGTGCACGGGCTTTGGTTTCTCCCTCTCTGCAGGCAAATTTGTCTTAGAAGCAAGGCATCTGGTGGAGGAATATGCTGAAATAAAGAGACTTTGTGCTACAATAAAACAGCAGTGCCTTCTAATGAGAGTATCCAGCATATTAGGAATTTTCCTATACGAAATGTCACAGTGATGCAGCTGCAGTGATTGATCCCATTACCTGAGCTCGCATATCTCCCCATTGTGCTAAACAGCTCAGCCTCTCTGTCTTCTTCCAGGTGATAGCTATTCAAATTACATACACTTTTGTCTTCAAAAGGAGGATTAGTTTGGCAGTTCTATTACAGCTTCTGTCAAAGGCAGCTAGCTGATGAAACCGTTTCTTTTTGTGTGCCTCTTAATTCACATCTCGAATTGTACATTTGCATAACCCAGGCTTTTGAGAAGATGCTGCCTCACTCTGTCGCTTTTCTGTGGAACGACCTGCCGCTGCAGCTTGAGGGGACTCGGTGCAACCTCCATGTAGTGCTGGGACTGTGTCAGCTTTGCAAAGTGGGGGGCAAAGAGCCCCTCGGGGGCAGCGCCAAGAAGCGATGTTTCACCCTGTGAGTTGGGTGCAAGAGGGTGTGTGTTACACCCAGTCAGAGCTGGGCAGCTGCTCATGAAGTGGGTGGGCCCGCGCCCGAGCTCAGGTCAGTCCCAGACAGCTGTGTGCGCAGCTGTGCACAAATCAGTCCTCTGCCACTCTGCCTCTGATTCTGAAGGGCAAGTTAAAGTTAAATCTAACACCTTCTTTTCATTTTTAAATCTTCCTTCCTGCTTCTCCCTCCACCTCCCTGCCAGGCACATTGTTGACTCTGGATAACAAATAACATGCTGATCTGTCCCACTGACATTTCTTAATGAGGCCTTGCAAATTTAGTACCTTTAATGGTCATAATTAGGGATCATTAGACTCTTGAGACTATTATGTGTAAGACATTTTGATCAATGCCAGGAGCTGTTTTAAATGTAGCACAGATTCTGAAATACATTTTCTTATAATGCTTCAAACAAAGCATGGTCCTCTAATTCTCACCTAATGCTCTTCTAAAAGCCAGAGATTTCTGCAGTGTCTTTTGTGCCATAATTCTTGCCTGTGTGTCATGCTGCCTGCACTTGCCTTCCTTCACCTGTGTCAGTTTGCAGGCGTTGTGGATAAATGGATAAGCCTTTATCCATGGTGATAGCTGAAGTGCAGACCACAGGCAGCTGTTGAATAGTGATCATACTGCAGCCAGGTTTCTTCAGACTGTGCCACTGGGCTGGACCAAACTGTTGGGTTCAAACTCTGTTAATAGTTTGCAATAATAGCGGACTGAATTCTGGTGTCAATATTTTCTAGCAGGAGTCAAAATGTTACAACAGACCAGGAAAAAAGGTTACTTCAGCAACTCCGAGAAATTACTAGAGTTATGAAAGAAGGAAAATTCGTAGATGGCATCTCTCCTGAGAAGGAAGCTGAAGAAGCTCCTTACATGGAGGACTGGGAAGGTAAGCAAGAGCCTTTCTTATGGTAAGTAAAACTAAGTCATTCTTTGTTCCAATGTTGTAAAAATCAACTCCAGAAAGTCTCTCTTTTAAAAATGCTTTATTTTAATGTCCTTTCTGTTCCTTGTTACATAAATGTGTTTTCAAGATATACTAGCTGAGCTACTCACTATCATAATTTTAAATGCAGACTTAATTCCTTCCTCTTTAAGAAGCTTTCAAAAATGATTCAAAACATAAAGCATAAACAGTGGCCTCAAGCTCTGTTTTCTTAAGTTCACCATGCATTTTCTAAAATGAAATGCACAAAGTCTTTGACATATCTGGTTTTTCAGCTTTATAAATAACGCTGTTTATAGCAAGTCTTCAAAGCATGAATCAGTCTGTAGACAGAAACAAAAAAGGAATTGATCTATTTAAAGATCCAAGACATGTAATTTTCACTTGTTAGCTCCCATAGCTTTTGGGAAGCTCAGCTATTGACTCCTGAAAGTCAGGGATGGTATCCAGGCTCCCTAAAAAATACATGGAGTTTTCTCATCATCTCCCAAGAAGTCGTGTTTTGCACATTCTTGCTATGCATTTAATACTGTGACATATACATGGCATTAAATATATGACACTTAGCCTGGCAGTGCTAAGAAAACCTGTTCCAACAAGCTTGTGCATCCATCACTGAAGTCAGAACTACTTTTAAATGCTGGTAACGCTTCAAACTGCTTATCACTTTATTCCTAAGGTTATCCAGAAGAGACCTATCCTGTCTACGATAATTCTGATTGCTTCAAACGCAAACAGGACACAATCCTCGTAGATTACCCAGACCTGAGCCAGCCCTCTGCAGAAGAGCTGGCAGAAAGAATGGAGGGCATGGAAAATGAGTATCTGTGCACTGAAGCCCTGCTAGCTGACCTCCCCCGGAGAAGAGCCGGTCATGATTTAATGCAGAAAAAGGACGAGGTAACTGGCATCACTGAAGAGGAGGGGGACCTTCATCACAGCCAAAGCGCTGAGGAGTGCTGCTGTTGTTACGAGGATGACGATCCTGCTATCGTAGCGGAGAACGCTGGATTCCACTCCGAGAGCTGCAGTGAAGCAGAGGAGTCAACCCAAGAGGACCTGTCTACAGAGTCTGAAAATGAAAATGCAGCACTGAAAAAGCAAAAGGCTGGCGATTCAGATGAAACAGGCACACTGAGAAAGCGCAACATGAAAGGACTTGAGTAATAGGGGCAATAGTGGCTGTTACCTAGATGGTGAAGGTAGAGGCCATAAACTGTCACTCACGTGTTTCTTGTTCCTGATGAAGACTCCTCTTACTAATTTCATTCCTGTGGTAACAATCAGTCACATCAGCTACCCGAACACGAAGCCAATGCCCTCTTTCATGCAGTCTTATTTATTACCATGGCTTATTACCATGACACTGCCATCAGCACCTTGTCCTTGATTACTGGAGAATGGTATCTGGGAGCAGATTATTCAGTTCAGATATTTGTGATTCTTTCCTTTCCAGTTCTGAAGGGACAGTCCTTGTTTTTGCCCTTTTGCCATCCTAGAGTTAACCAAGCATCTCTTCTGACTTTCTCAAAAACATCTGTTTGTGTGCTACCAGTTATGAAAATTAATCAAATCTCTATATATTTGAGATTACCAGGAAGCTGAAGGAGAAGGCATGTCTCCTTTCTCTTACCTGAACATCGACTGATGAGCAGACCAGACGACAGCCACACACATGAATTTCTCAACCCTGTCATTGCTGCTGTGCGTCCGATAAACTGTTGTCGCTAAAGTCCATAGAATTCATAGGGTACCCCAACCCACAGCCCATTTCCCAGCTCACTCCGTGCTGCAGGACCTGGAGCCGACCCTGTGCTACGTTCCAGCAAAAACGGGAGCAAGACTGAGGCGTTAGGAGTTGTTCTTTGCCTTTGCCACAGTGAAGCCCCCACATGAAAGCAGGAACTGGACTGTACTTTGTCTTAGAGAAGAACACTAAAAACGTCCCTGGGGATTAACAAAAAAACGAAGAAAAGGCAGCAAGAAGGTTTGACCTTTAAAAGTAGAGAAGAGAGCAAGAGCAAAGCTCAGACTGAAACAAAACCCAGCCATCTCCAGGCCTTAAAGATCTCCCTCGGTGCCCCCCGACAGACCCAGTGCACACTCAGTGCAAACAGTCAGGCTTATTAAAAGCACACACTCCTTTACTTAGAGCATTTCTCACCTAGCAAATTAAATGGCTATACTTTTTATTAAAGCTAAAAGAAACAGCATGTGTTGTTTAAATGAAATATTCTGATAAAACTAGATTTAAAATGCCCAACAAATGCTTAATTCTTCCTGGCTATTTCTTAGTTGTTAAAGATCATTTCACACATTTCATGGGATCAGAAAAGCAACACAAGTGTAAGAAAGATCAGCGCTAGTCCCAAAAAATTCTGTAAAGAGGATTAGCATTACAGGTAAAAAACCACAACTTAAACAGCACGGGAAACTCCATACTTGGTGTAGGTGGTTTATCTCAAGGTGTGTCTGACCTTGGGTAGTGAAAGACAGAGTTGTTTTAAACAAATTAAGTTTAATATTTCTGCACAGTGTTCTGTATTGACAAACACCAGAACCTCTATGACATACACAAGGTAAATTATGTGAAAATACAAAAATCAGTTATTGCACATACTGGTAAATAAATACATTTGCTACAGAATACCAAAGTTTCTTTAAAAAAATTACTTTGTAAAAGCACATTCTTGCAGGTTTATCTAAAACCTTATATAGGTCTGAATAAAAATGAGATACCTGACTACTCGAAACAGGTCAAGACAGTCTTGTGTGCAAACAAGTGTAACTTATTACAGGCATTATGAAAAAACCATGACTGGTTAAATATTAGTTCTCATACTTAAGACTTTTTTTGTCATTTTTGATATTTTTCACTCTTTAAGCCCCATATAATGTAAAGGAAATCTAGACCATAACATAATTTCTACAGTATATCATTGGTTTATTTAAGAAAGGCAAAGAGATGAATTAGATGTTTACTGTGGAAAAATAGCAAAACAAAACAAAACCCACCCTAACTAAACTGGGTTTTTTTCATTTAATGGGGACAGAAGCATTCGTATAGCACGTACATTTTCTACTTATCAAAGTTTAAGTAAGCAAGTCAGAAACAAAGGTGTATTTTTCTTTGCAGGCAGATACAGTTTCAATGCATTGTAAAACGGGTATTGCCCATTTCACATCTAACTAAGACACTGGAGCTTTCAGCCTGTCACTAGTTGGATGAAGGCAGTGTAGTTTTTAGGGAAATACAAAAACAGTTCCATGTCTGCCAGGAACTCTCAGAAATTAACCAACCACCTCAAAAGTATTTGCTTTCTGAGAGGTACATCAAGTTACAAAACATCCTCCACAGGTATTTTTCCCTTGTTGCCCTGCTCTTGAGTATAAGAAATTCTTCCAAGAAAAAAAAAAAAAGGAAGAAACAAGAGTGCCAGTCTTGTAACGATGGGGTAGGGGCTGACTCACTCAGTGCATGGATCAATCCCCCTGGAAAGTCAGCTCAAAGCAAAAGCAGATGCTCTCTAATGCAGACGCTTACATGCAGAGCATTTAAGAGATGATTTTTATTTTTATTTTTTTTCCAAAAGAAGGATTTCACTTGTTCAAAATTATTTTAAAAAGGATTTCAAATAACTGACTCTCTTAGAGATATTTTCCAATAATCAACGCCAAGACAAATTAAAATCATGGTTTATGCTGTCAGTGTGATCAGTGGGAAAGAACACTGAGTAATCCCCATGTATCACCAAAGGCAATTTTTTAAGCCTATGTATGTATGTATGTATGCACATGCATGTGTACACAACACAAATGTTCGCACATCTAACATTGGAAAATATTGGGAAAAATCATAATTAAATCCACTCCTAATACTGAGAACGCTGCTGTACCTGGCATGCCCTTTACACTCTGTATATAACCACAGGAATACCTTATTGGCCTGGCACCAGGAGTAGGATATTTTATTTTAGAGAAACCGTTAGTTTCAATCTCAGAAAAAGGAGAATTTTACACTTTTAAGATACCAACAAAATTAACAAAGCTTCAATTTTTTTTTTTTTGTTTTCTCATACATGTTTTACAGTAACCTGCTGGAAAAGGTTTGTTTCTTATAGACCTTGTTTCTTAAGGGAATTCCCTGTGTCATTTGCTAATTCTTGGGCAGGGTCAGTTTTCCATTATTATCCCTTAAAACATGGGCAACGATTAGCAGTGTTTTGGTTTTCTAAATACCCTGTTTAGTTGCAGCAATGACAACACATAATTTGTCACCACATTTAATAGAAAAGTTTGCTTTCTTCACCAGTAGGATGTTTTAGCTCACCCTCCGAGCGTCAACAAGGCTTCCTGGGATGTTTGTAAAAGGAAAATTTGGTGTCCCTTCCACACACAATCTTCTGAAGTATTCACACCAGTAATTGCCAATTTCTGAGATGCAGCTAAGCCCACATTTAAACACAGACAGATGAAAAGATATTAGGACTCTTGTAGGGACACCAAGCGCGGCATTACGGAGAGAGAACAGGAGTGAGACGTGCTCAGTGACACCAGCAGGCTTTGGATAGGCCCCGAAGAGAAAGAAGTGGGTGACAATGTTATAATGAAAAAAGTCTGCACATAAATCAAGCTGTTTAGGAGAGAGATAGATAAATGGTACTGGCAGAGTTCTTACCAGCACAATGCAACGCCAACAGTGCCCACTGCAGCCCATGAAGGAACACGTTGCTCCATGACCCACGGTGAGCGGGGCCGAGAAGCGAGCCAGTGCTCCGGTGAGAAACCTCCCTCCCGGCACTGCTCCGCTCGCAGCCCTGCCTCGCCAGCACGCTGGAGTGCCTCCACAGCACTTGCTCTTCTGGAACTGCACTCCTTGGACTGCACATGCCTTTTTCTGGGCATAGGGCTCAGTATAGCCAAGTATAATAAAAAAAAAAAAAAAAAAAAGTGTTCTCTCCTTATATGCAGTGGAAGTGCATGAAAAGTTCAAATAACTAAAGAGCCACAGGTCCCAGTTTTTGCCTTCAGGAGGAGCTCTTTCTTCCATCTTAGGAGAGCTGTATCTTAATGGCTTCGGTTCTGCAGTTGCTTTGCTAAGCCTTCATGCAGGTCTTTGCAGCCATGTCCTCTGACTGGTGACAAGGACACGGAGAAACACGCCCTGTTACCCAGCAGGGTGGCAGTGAGCACGTAATAGTTGCATGGCTTAGTGAGAAACCCGTTGCATGTGTTTTCCTTATGTGGTGGCTGCTTGCATGAATGCTAAGGGGCTCTCATCCTCCAGATCCAGGCAGATATAAATGAAGAAGAAAAAGAGAAAGGAAGATTATTTTCTGAGAAACAAGCATATCGCTGATGGGCGCTGTAAAAGTAAGCCTACTTACACTGTCATCATTTACACCCTGCTCCTAGCAGCCAGCTCTGCTATACTAGTAAAGCAGTTGCCTTCATTGTACAGACCCCAGATCCCCGGCGTCCACAAAACCCAAAGAAAGCACACAGTTGGCAGGAAGCTTAAATTCATCATACAGGTGGCAATAGATCAGCGAGCGCTGAAACCCACTGCTATAGAAAAAGAGAAATGCGGGCTCTAGCATGAAGGTGCTGAGCTTTTGCATGTACAGTTCAAGGAGGCAACTGTTAGAAAAGCCATCCTGCAAGTCACAGCTGACACCCTGAGAATACAGAAGAGTGAATCCCTTTACGTATGTTCTCCAGTGTCTTGGTCAGAAGCCTATAGAGCAGTTTAAAAATTCACCAACAACCTTGAATTGCACAATGTGATGAATACCCCCACTGAGGATTATGCAACTGGAATTCAAGGCCACCCTACTTCGAAATGAGAACATATACGCAGGGAATTTAACACATTTTAATTCACAGACTTTTAACTTTATAGGTTTCACTGACCGCTTTCTGGAGTGTCCCCATATGGAAAAATCTGCACGTTTGAAACGGAAGTTATAGATGGAAAAAAAAAATCAGGGCACTTAAGGAAATTGTAGTAATGAAAACTACTAAGCAGTTGAATAGCATCCCCCACCTGCAAAAAAGTATTTGAAGTGGTATCAAACAGGAATCCACCCTTGTGCTACGTAGTCCAAAAGACAGAATGACCAGTGCTTTTGCAAAAAGGTGGATTTTTCTTTTTTAAAAAGAAGAAA